AGCACACGGTCTTGTTGTACTCTGCTAATAAAAGCCGAAGACGCACAAACAAGGGTTAAAGATCTTTGTTCGTGGCCGCTGATTCGTTTCGTTCTTTGACGATCGACCCTTTAACCTAAACTTGCGGTTCAGTGCGATGTTTAGAGAGCTGGGCGTCCGCGTCCTGCGTGAACCAGTATCATCAGGGAAGGGCTAAGTCCGTTGCGCTCGAGGAACTCATTAATTCGTTCACTGTACACCTTAGTTGCAGGTAGAAAACACTTCAGCTATGGTGCCGCAATACAAAAAATAGAAGAAGAAAAGATGAAACAGAGGCACGCCGGCTGAGTCACCAGCAACGGATGGACATCGTTCCAGAGCGCTAACAGCCGGCTCTTGTGTCGAAAAGCGTCCTATTATGCCTACTAATTGAGATCGTAGTTGGAGGGTGTGGCTAAGCCGGAGGCGGAGGGACAAAAATACTCAACACAAACGCTAGCCGAACAACCTCCTTGTTGTGCCAGCTGCGTGTTTCGGGTTAATCCCGTTCCAGCAAATGGTTCGGCGGCAGTGTTCCAGTAACTGGTGGGATATCGCCTGAAAAGCGTTCTCCCTATAAAAAGCCAAAGATGTCCGCTTAACGACCGTGACGCGGCGGACGTAACTCATCACTAAATAAACTCACTGCCTTTATACTTTCCGGAGCAGCATACCCACATCACGAACTTCAACCAATTCTAAGTGACCCATTAATCCCTTCCTTTGATGGCGAACCCAGGGAACAAAATCACAAATTCAGTCACATTTACAAATTCATTCAAAAGGGCTACTTGCATATACAAACGTACACATACATCTACATGACAAGATAATTTTGTACCCGCTAGCTGGAGATGGAAAACACTTCAACTATGGTGCCGCAATACAAAAGAAAAGAAAGAGAAGCATAGGCACGCCGGCTAAGTCACCAATAACGGGTGGACATCGTTCCGGAGAGCTGACAGCAGGGTATTGTGTCGCAAAAAGTCATGATGCCTACTAACTGTGAGTGTTGTTAGAGGGGGTGGCTAAGCGGAGGGATGGACAAAGGAACTCACAACACAAACGCCATTGAGGTCGGATCCTAGCCATGTCAACAAGTGTATCCAGCGAAACATGTTCATCGTCCTTCGGTCCCCAATCAGGGAGCCGAGATGCTCCAACCAAGGCCAACTTCAAATTAAGAGCCTTCATTCCTATTGACCAAGTCATCACTTGGCCACCTCTTCTCTTCTATCCGCACCCCGGCGTGCAAACAACGCAGGTCGCGGAAGTCGGTGGGCTGGCAAGCGCAACACGTGGCCCAGTCACCGGAGCCTGGTGCGTGAAATAACGGTGCTGAGCGGTTTGCTTCATCTTCCTGCGCCATAAATAAAGCGTCGAACACGTTCATTGCTGACACGGTATTCCCACCAGATATGAGCGAAACTGCGAAGGCACTGTTGGTCGAACGTGCTCTAGGATTTTTATACATTATAAAGTAATACCCATCAGTTGAGATGGCTCGGTCACGTCCTACGCATGGCACCTGAGTGTCTACCGCGTCGCGCTCTATTCGCTCGTCAAGGACCTGGCTGGAGGCGACCGCGTGGTAGTCAGCCTTCTACATGGCGGCAATACATGAAATCGCTGACATCGTGTCTAGCCGCTGTTGGATCCGTACGTCTTCCAGGATGGGGACCCAAAGATGAGGAGTGTCAATGGCTTAACACACTAGAAGACATGGCCCGCAACCGGAATCAATGGAAGAATTGTGTACAGTATTGTATTGATTCACGTATTTAATACTACAAACATTAAACTGACAAAAAAAGAGCAAAAACGGCGTGTGAAAACAAACTAAAAATGTTTTGTTCTACTTTTTGTCAAAATGTTATATTCTTCCTGCGGCATATTAGTTGAAGTGTGTTGCTCACCTTCAACTAGCATGCCACGGTGATTATGACGCGATGATTCTTGCTTATCCCCTAATCTCCATGGTTTTATTCTGGCTCTATGTCTAGTAGATAGACTTGAGGTTACATACATACATACAATACCCATCAGTCGCTGAGCCAGGCTGAATTGGCAGGGTAAAGTTTAGTAAGATGGACGAAATATACCATGGATGATAGGCAACAGTAACGCACTAAAAGTTAGGCAAACAGTCAACGGTTATTCAGTGCGAACTTAATGCGCTGCATAATTCTCGTAGTTAAATCAAACTTAGGTGTTTTCCCTTCGTGCAAACTGGGAAAGGACCACGGTGATATAGAAATGACCGCTTTTATATTGTCTAAGCCAGACTGACATCATTGTATATTTATTTAGATTCACTTTAGTAGAAAAGTGGTGTATATGTGCATTTGTTTCTATCCTAGAAATTACATCTTATTGTGACCTAAAAGCGGTGTTTGGCACACGACATAATAGTTGTTCACATGGCAAATATAAAAGTGTATGAGTAATGAAGCCAGTATATTTGCGGGTTTGTGGTGTTTTTAACTATGTCAGCTGGCCTGTCAACCGCTTAGTTTACTCAGTTTTTGATTAAATATTTAGATGCTTACGTTCACCTTGTTAAATATACAGCAGGTAACTGTTCATCTTGCACTTTGGTATGTTGATTTGCACCGGTTGTCGGTCCGTAGAAGCTTAGCACTTGCTTGGCAAGCCAACGTATCTTTCTATTCTTGTCAACCATCTGTAACCTGGCTGGTTGAATCAATACATATAGACAAATCCAGGCTCCTTTATCGACGGCGCTTTCGAGGTCTATAGATGAAGATTGAACCAGTTCTCATCTATGAGCGGAGCGTGTACCGAGACGTCGAGATCATAAGCCTGCCAAATTGCGGTCACCGTGGCACTATTGACACGGTCTATCACGTGGCAGCACGTCCTGAGCGTGGTATCCAGCCTTCTGAGGGTGTTAAAAATCGTCGATAAGGAAAGGTAGATCCAGTTCTATTTCAGCCATTCTGTATCCGCACCAAAGAGTCGTCCGAATGCCGTTCAACGGTCTCTTAAATGCGCTGCAAGACACAGGGAGTCAGCTTCCCCCTTTTCTTTCCTCCACAGTTGCGTTGAGTACTAGTGCATTCTCGCATGTACGCATTGCTTACGTTTCTTGCCGTGATCCTGTTTACGTCGACGACTTCGGCAGCTTCGCGAGTGGTTTTGCCGTCGACGAACACAAGCTTGGTAAGGATTTCTTCCTATGTCTATTACGTTCGCCTGAATCGTCACCGTCTCGAAGATGCGTCTTCTCTTTGTCCGTCGATCATTTTTGTCGTTTCGTGCTGCAGTAAGCTAATAAAGCTAGGTGAAATTTAGTGTAGTTATAATAACCAACACTGTTCCAATAGTCATGCAGCTGCATAGGTTCGCGAAGGCCAATAGAGAGACAGGAGAAAACTGGGTCACCGTCTTTGGTTGAGGAGAACGACGCTCATGATGGAGAGTGGGCATTCACAATCACTGCTGCTTGGACAGATCGGATTGCATCAGCGTGATTGCAGTGTGGCGTGAACATCTTTCAGTCGTCTTACTCGTCACACTTCGCTTAAAATTGATGATTTTCTGCTTAAAATAAACTGTATCCAGTTTGTTGCAAGACGTCCAGTATAGGGTGTACAAAGATTCGTCAACTGAGCGCAACTTCTGAACCCACGGCTTTCTTCTTATGAGTCAATGACGACGGTGAACCAGTCTGACTGCTTGCTAAGCACAACATTGCGCGGTTTTCTCTAGATGCAACCCCGTCTTTATTTCAGCAACTCAAGTAAAGCAAAGGATGAACCGCGTTATGTCTCGTTTGGTACTCATTATTGGTGGTCTGTCACCCTTACTTCTGACTCAATTGACGAATATCAAGAAGATCATGAGTACGGGCTGAACAGGATTCGATCAATGCACATTGTTTACCAATCATAAAGGATGAACCGGTCATATAGCACTTCTCCAAATGTGCGGTGGATGTCTGACTGTCTCGCTGATCAGGTATCAGAGCGATATTTTAAGTGACGCAACCCCCTTCGCGGCAACTTTAGCTTAGGTAAAACACAATTATGTATCTTGAAGAAATGGTTTCAAAGTTGTAATAATTATTGCTCTGGTTCATGTATTCACATCCCGTTTAAAGCTTTGAGCGTTCAGCATCAGCATCATAAATACACATTAGTTGAGAGTGAGAAACACCCCAGCTAATGTTCCGCAGTACAAAGAAGGCAAGATGCTAAAAGTTACACTAAATATTCAAAAAGCGTGCAGTATAACGTTATGTATCATGTTATTCATTTTCTATGAGATGCAATTGGAAGGAAAAGCTAAAGAAGAGGAGGATGGAAAAAATCCTCACAACACATATGCCATTGGGGCCGGCTCTTCGCCATATCAGTACGCGTGGCCAACAAACGTTTTCAGCATCATTTGGACCACGACCAGGCAGTCGGCATGCACCAACTGACGCTAATTTTGAATTGAGGGTGTTGGTGTGCTGGCATGCGCAACACGTGGTCCAGCCACCGGAGCCTGGTAGTGCATTTAACAGAATTTAAAAGCGCCTCTTTTAGGTACGATATATATATATATATATATAAATGTATGTATATAATCTGCTAAGCGACTAAACGCCGAATACACGTCGACAGAGTCGTACTTTGATATCTCAGCAAGATCGATTCAAATAGAGTGAAAAATTATGATGGCTGCGTGTGGCTTTAAATCAGCGGCTAAGTTTTGTACTTAAGTATATACATATGTACAGTCGGCAGGTGGCCGAACGAATAAGGCTTCTGCTCCGTAAAACAACGTTTACCGGTTCGAAGCTGCGTAAGTATGGGCGACTTCGCAGCACCAGCTTTCTGCGCGCGACCAGTGGTGGTCGCGTGACAGTGAAGCGTCAATACGGCGCACCGGCGTACTGCCTGTGCCTATCTGGTTTCCCTTCACTGTATATGCACATGATTCATTATCGTGTCGTTTTTTACAATCTGTTGTAGGTGTTCGCTACTATTGTCTTTGGCTGCGTCTCTAACGGATGTCGAACTCCAGACCACGTGTGCGTTTACCATGGAGAAGGAAGCGCCTGCAGCTATGCAGTGGTTACTGGGGTGCTTGCCTTCTTGGTTTTGATTGCCTTCTTAGTCTGCAGTGGAACGTTTAATTCCATTTCAAATATCAAGAAGAGACGACAAATAGTGATCGCCGAGCTAGCTCTTTCTGGTACGTCATGAATATATGTGTTTAAGCTTTTTAATAAGTTGAATACTGGGATGTATAACGCATGACATTGTCATGCACATCTTTATTAAGTAACTATCTGAGGAACATCATACATCTACAAAGGTTGGTAAAGGTTTTAAGATACTGTTGGGAGCAACATGTCATAATTTAGCGTGTGAAATTCACCACTAACTAAGTTGAAGCACATTGCCTTACTGCATATCCTTTTATGTTCCAGCCACAATAAAAGCTTCATTGAGTTGATCAAAGTCTTGTTTGCTTAACTGCCTAAATCTAAAATTCGTGAAGAGTTGTCAAGTGTTAAGTGAGAGGAAAGCGTGGTATAGCCAAACTTCTGCACATATCTGCGTTACTGTATTAAGAAAGATGCGCTGGGCGCCTGATAAGTTATCTTCGGAAAAATAACAGTTCTATATTGTGTGTCAGTCAGAGTTTACTTGTGTACTTTTTAGTTGAGGTTCCGTCATTATTATATAAGAATAGAGTTAAATAGGAAATTGTGTGGCCAAGCTATCGCAAGCATCGACAATATACATCAAATTTAAGCTTATTTGTTACGGTTTTTTCACGATAAATGAGCGGCGAAAACGCACTAAAATATCACGCGTATTTATTCTTCAATTAAATTACTCCATCTGGTCCAGCTAATAAATAATATAATAATAATGTGTCAGCTGTACGCTGTAACGGCGTTTCGCTGCCGCGCGACTACCACCAGTCGCGCGCGGACTGAGCATACTGCGAGGACGCCCACCCCTACGCGGATTCGGACCGGTGACCTTATGGTTGCAAACTAAACACGCAGACCAGTCGGCCACCGGCCGACTCTGGTCCAGCTAGAATGAAGACATTCAGTACTGTTTTGTTATTTGAGTACATAGTTCCATTAATCATGAAGAGAATGAGATTAGAAGGCGGGTGATTTCAAGAATGATATAACTTGTGACTGCGAACATCCGGAACACTCGTGCCTACAGCAAAGTATGAGGGATATGCAGCGTATCACCAGCGTAGACTGTGTCTGACATAGACCCAAAGAACTAAGATAAGAAGATATGTGAACGAGAGAGGCACTTGGTTCGAAGCCGGATCGGAGTCGAAACTACAGTTTACCCACTGACGTCCTGCTCTACATGATAGCAACCTCGAGTGATGGTGTGGCTTGAAGATTACAGAGGCATGATGTATATGATGAACTTATGCATTTTCAGCGCTCAAGCAGCGCATGAATAGCACATACTGATTACTTGTTTTTGTGGAAAATAGACTAATAATCATGCCCGGTGTAAATAAGGTAGTGATTGGATCCAACCCGTTTACGGCTAAATCCAAGCTTTGTACCTAACTCCTTCTTGTGGAAACAGTAAGTAGCGTAATGACTAAACATGAAGACAACGTACGAAATCATGTCGGAGGTGTCACGCATCTTGAAGCGCGCATTTATACACAAAGCTAAGCAAGCCCTGGCTACCTGGTTCGTTGTATGCGAAACCGGTCTAAACATCTGTATAATGATAAGTATGTCGCTGTGTCTTTGACAAAGACGTTAGAGGTACAGTTCGGGTGGTCCCGCCACTTGTTAGCTCCATATCTGGTGAATGTAACCTTAGCCAGATTCAAATGGTGAAGGTAACATACGGCTGGCATAATTAACTCGGCGTATTTTTCTATGGAGTAAATGACAAGTAGAGACCCGTCTGTGCAAGTTACTGATAACGCGAGTTAGAGGAACTAGCATAACAGACATACTAGTAGCATGCAAAGCTTACTGCTCAACTTAAAGCAACATAGCTACTTAGAACAAACCTGGGGAAAATCATCCACTGTACATCAAATACAGGTCTCCACTGGAGTCAACGACCTGACTTCATTTGTTTCCTGGTGGCCAACCAGACACCTGTCAAACATCGAGTTAACCCTACTTGATGCAACGTCACTACTCATTCGGTCATAGATGTTGACAAGCCATGCAATTAAGAGTGACCTATGAAGTTGCAAACTTCAACGCTTTGGTGAATATACACTAATGCTAAAGGGCCTCTCAGTAAGCAGACTGAACTTTGTGTACATCAGGTTGCGCATACTTGGGACGTCGTTTCTATTACAGAATCTTCGTTGTACCAAGAAATAGCTTGTGCTGATGGCGAGATGCCAAGAATGTCACTCATCCGGAACAACCGTCCCAGCAGCGGAGGTGGGGTTCCTCTGGACTACCACAGCGACCTGCAATGTGCATTAGCTGAGTATCCGGAAACAGGTTACCGACTCATTGTGGTGTCATCTTGGACTAAGATACAACTACGTACGTCTCGTAACTGTCGTTTGTCGCCCACCAACATTCCCTCCGGTAATGAATCCCCGTTTGATACTCGTAATGAGCATGGTAGCAAGCACTAGATACAGCCATATCCTCATCGCTGGTGATTTCAATGTATATTATCTGGAGCTATCCGGATCTTTCAATAAGCAGCTTAAAGCTGACTTACATGAATTTATCACTTGCATTCCCTTATCCAATCATATCACCTCGCCCACAAGATTCCGGGTAGCAACGAAACCGTCCGTACTGAACCTTGTGCTCCCAAATGAAAAGCTCATGGTCGACCAGATATTGAAAAAAAATCCATTAGGTCTCAGCGACCGTGTAACTATAACATTTAACCATGTTTGATATGCAGTGTATCCATCTGGACCTACGGAATTAACTCATACTACTACGTTCTGAAAGAAGTCGTTGAGACATCTACGCGGCGGTTCTCGAACAACAGTCCACTTGACAGCGGTTGTACAGGGTTCCTTGAAAGACTTAGCGACGGTCAACAGAGTACCAAAAACTAAACCACAGTAGTGCCATCAATACTCTAAAGCAGGACTCGAAAATGCATGCCAATGTGGGATCCAACATGGCATGCATGTTAAGAGGTGGACCTCATAAGGAATCGGAGAGGGTGACATGCATACCTAAAATCAAATCTCTAACCAAGAAATTTGCAAGGAAATCTCATTGGTGGATCATAAGTGTATTCCAGAAAAGTTTGTTGCTATTATTAGTAAGAAAAGAATGAAGGAGAACAACGAACGTTTACGAAAGTCGACCACACCATATAAGTAGCACTAGCATACGCCATGTATTCGCCCTGTCTTTCCTCGTGAATAAAACTGGTACTTGAAGGCCGGTTTTTATCAGCCAATCAGAGCGACCATAACAACTAGCGACAGAGGTGCACAAATCTCGGCCCAGTGTGGAACTTCCTTACTCGCCGCAACCATTGTACCACATCTGTTCGTGAGGACAAAGTCACCTACCAACCGTGCCTAGCCAAAAGGTTTCTGGCAAACAATAAACCACTTCACAGGCAGTACAGCGGCCTTCGTAAAGCACGTCATCCCTCAATTTTCCCAATAGCGGGTAGGGTACAAAGCTTGGACAAAGCAGCCAATGCCCTGCGGCAACAGTACGCCCCGATGTTCGAACTCGTAGCCCATACTTGCCGCATACTATCATCCATTTTACCGAGTCCCGGGTTTAAACATATAATCTTCAACCCAGCAACAGTGGTAAGGAAGTTCATTTTATTGCGTGATCTTAGCTCTTCGGGAACTGATAACATTCGCCCGAAGACCACGGCAGTTAAGCTAGCCGAGCCCCTGTAGCGGTTCATCCAGAGATACTTCGATGAACAAGTTACGACCATTTGGAAGCAGAGCCTTACTATCCCAATTTCTATATGTGGCAGCCGTTCAAACTCCGCAAACTATCGCCCACTTACTCTCCTCCCTGTGCTCGCAAAATTGATGGATGCAGCCATAGCTGAGGCCTTAGCAGACTACCTGGGAAAATGTAACGTCTTGGAACCGGAGGAGCATGGCTTTTGTCAGCACCGGTAATGCATCACCAACCTGCTGATAGCACGAGATAGCTGGTTGTAAGAGTCTGATGGTGGAGCTGGTATCGATGTCATCTACCTGGACGTTTCCAAAGCTCTCGACCATCTGGACCTCCGTAACCTACTTCATAGGATACAGGACTATGGAATCGGGCATCCTGTCCTTGGGTGGTTTACCAACCTACGTCACCAGCGAAGGCTTCTAGTGCGTGTTGGTGGGTCACTCTCCAACCCGATTTAGGTGGAAGCAGGTGTTTCACAAGGCTCGGAGCTAGGACCACGCTTATTACCGGTATTTATCAACGGCTTGACAAGTGTTATCGCCTCGAATTCCATGGTTTTCGTGGATGATATTTGTATATGGTGAGCGATTAGTAGCAATGAAGATCACGATTTTCTTCAACATAACGGATTGTATTCATGAGTGGTTAGAATGGCTAAGTGCAAAGTGACTCACCTGTGTCATCAGCCGGTGAGCGTGTACACTTAGAGGATGCACTTTGTAGAAGTCTTCTGAGGAGCGTGACCTTGGGACACAAATTCAGGACGATCTCGGCTGCTGGAAACTATTAGAGAAGACGTCGAGAGCCGGTAACCAACACGTCAGCAGAGCGTTCAGTCGGTCTTACCTCTCAATCTTCCAACAAATGCTTAACACCCATGTGGGAATACACCATGTGGAATGCGCCATTTAACCGATGTGCCTGTGTCAGAAGCAAGAACTTGCTGCGCTCTAGACTGCTCAGCGATGAGCATCGAGAAAGGTAAGAGATCTCTTCCATCTTCCCTTGGATTGAAGTCCCTAGGAATTTACAGCAGTCGATATCGGCGTTTGTGGGAAAACATCACCCTGGTTTATCAAATCCTGGATACTTTATTATAGAGCAAATATAAATGAATTATGTACAACTCTTTCGAAATATGGTGAAAAAGGATTCAAAGTTGAATTTTACACGAACGCTGTGTGGTTGGGTTGCGACTCGCAACCTCTATTGAGATTTCGGTTCACTTTGAGGCAAACCTCGCTCATTCCGATCGCGAGGACCGTATCCGGAATGGAAATATTTGGGTGTTGCTTCTCCTAACACTGGCACACCACGACCGCGGTCGTGAGGGATAACAGTCAGTTAGATGGTCGTCGACCTGTACGCTCCGCTTTCGTCCAACAAGAAAGTCGTGGATTCACCGGTGCAATGAGCCACCGACACCGCACATCCTGAGTTTGTGAAGGAGAACCTCAGTTGACCTAGAATCTCATGGCTGATCCTGAAAAACTCAGACCACATTTACCGCCCGCTGCTGGAACTGGACCGCAGCACCAACCTGAGAGGTCATCATTTAAACTGACAAACAGTATAGTCGGTTGGAATGCCGTCGAAATCCCTTCGAGCATGTCAGCCGTGGGACATACTGTTTTTGCCATCAATCTAACGATAATAAAAAAATGAATTGACGAGGCATTATACTATTTGTATTTCACTTTATAACTTGTGTTAGCAACCAAACGTTGTGTTTACAAAATTCTAACCAACTGGATTTACACGTACTATCACATGGACATCTCGGCTGTTCTACGCGTGTCTAAATCAGAACACTATTGTGAGTCCACCGAAACGTTTTCATCTTACAAGTAAATTTTCTTTTCTAAATTGTTCCCATCACACTGCACGTGTTAAGCATTACTTTTTATCCGTAATACACCATCGTTGCGAAAAACTGTTGGATGAAATGATATCCAATGTACCTCATCTGATGTCCATCAAAAAGGAGCATTAGTTCGATTCTATAGTGTGCGTACTGTCACTCATTTCGGACGTTTGTAGCTCCACTGCTCGGTGCAGTGACAAAAAGTTAGAAAAGTAGAGGTAAACCTAAGTTAGTGGAAGGCAATTAAGCAAGATGAAGACTGTGTCCCTAAAGTCTACCATTCACATTATAATGATATTTTGTTCCTTTGCCATCAATGCGGACCACAGTAATCAATTTTCTCATTGTTTCCTTGGTACAGGCTTGTGGACCTTCCTTTGGTTTGTTAGCTTTTGTCTTCTTACAAACAAATGGACAACTACTACTGAGGACTGGTTGGAGCGTCACAAAGTTGAGAGCTGGCAAAGAAATAATGCACGCTCAGCAATTGTTTTCTCGATGGCCTCTATCGGGGTTTGGGTAGGTACCTAGAACGAACCTTAGTCGTTGCTACTTTTTCTGTTCGCCGCAAGTTAAAGCACTAGTTTTTCTCTTTTGTTTACCTGTACGGATGACATTAAAAACAGCATGCGATTATGTAGTAGCTACACTTTAAACTTTGGTACCAGCAGTATTATATAATGAATGAACATATTACTTAGCCATCACATCGGTAACAGGTAGGTATCATCGCCAAGACAAGTTGATAAGTTCAATCAAAATCTACTCATCCACTAAATTTGTACTTGATAATGCAGAGCGTGCTGTATCAGCCGGACAAATGTAGCATATATCTCAAAGGCTGAGTGTTAGTCATAAGAAAAATCTGTTTGGTTTCCGGATGGTGGTAAAGATGGAATCAACTATTTGTATTACCAGCTCACGACTCGTAGAGAATAGTGCCACTTCTAGAAACTCTTGTAGTGCGGTTGTTAATACTGAATGTGAGTATTGTTTCCAACCGACTGTTGCATGTACATTTATCGATGTTTTTGCAACACACCATTCGCTATTCCGCAGATCGGACAATGGATTTGTCACAGATAAAAAAGCAGACGCTTAATACTTTCCGAAGGTAAAATTGAGACCAAAAAGTGAGTGTATGAAGAAAAAGTAAGGCGTAACGGTGGACTAGAACAATCTTAACGTGTATACATAGTTTGACTACGCTGTCACGTGTCCCATTAACAAGCTAAATCATGTAACACAGGTGGTGTAATGCATCGTAAAGTCGAGTTTTTAATCCAGCTAACGTAGGAGCCGAGATGACTGAACGCGGAAGAACTGTTCGCATCTGCGATGCACGAATGGCGAAGAAGTCGCAGCAACATTCCAACTGGCTATATTGAGCGGGTAACTACAAATGGTGGCCTTTAGGTGAGGTATAGTGGCTGAGTTTCAGTAGATGTCGGCAAGCGTGGTCAGGATCCTTGAGGATATGGTGCATGAATGTAAGATCACCTAGCTGACGAGGATATTGTCTACTAAAAATTCTCACGGTCTTTACTCTCTACCGGTAAGGAAGGTGGAGCAGGTCCTTATTATTTTTAGTCGCCCTCCGTTGTGGATTCTCGGAAGCAGTGAGGTCATATCTTTGCCAAGGTCACCACACCTGTTGTCTACCGTAAACGTCGAACCTTTGCGAGAAAAAGGCAGTATCAAACTGGCCAAATGTCCTCCGCTGTAGGTCCTAGTGTTGGCTAGCTTTCCCTACTGCTTTCTCGATTTGTCTTAAGCATCCGAGATCGTCTTGCACGAGCGCCCCAAGATCAATTTCATGAGAAGCGCGCTGCGAAGCGTGTTCCCTTGGTTGATATTCGTAGGCGCCATAGTTACAAATGCTCATTGTTTCACATTGGACAGTATTAAGCATGCTTTGACCCGAGCACTGGTATATATATATATATATATATATATATATATATATATATATATATTGCAACAGTCTACGAATAGACATTGCACCATCGGAAACCATGGAACTCAAAACAAGGTACAGAAATAGTAAAAGAAAAACACGAGCACTGGTAAGCCTTGTTGAGATTGCCTTGCAGTGCTGTATGGTCGTCCACACTTTTTGTTACCCGCCAAACCTTGAGGACGTCTTCAAAGAGTAAAAACTTGGAGATAAGCACTCTGACAAGGTCGTTTATGAACACTAGGGATGGTCGTGGTCCTAGTAACGATGGTTTTATACAAGTAAAAAAGCTAAGGTCATGGTGAAAATTCAGAACATAGAAAAATTGTTAGCAAAATCAGGTTCGCATCGGTGGACTCATCGCGGTATTCGTAGTATAAAATGTAAATCCAGTGTAAGCCCATAAGGAATGATGTCAAATGGGGCATTAGTGAACATTGTGACTTCTGTTGGTGAGCACATACAGGAGGTGAAAAACATGGAACATATTATGCGAGTTGGCCGGCAGTGAAATCTATAACAGACACTCGTGTTTAGGCATGCGCTGTGAGTTATGTGATATGCTGCAGCGAAATGAGTGCACGGTCAACTCGGGCTTTGAATTCTAGCAGCGTCGGAGCAAAGATGACAGATCCCGGCAGAGCATTCCACGCTTTGCAAACGCGTACGGAAAAGAAATTTCGGCTGCATCCCAAGCGACTGTACTGCTGTGCTAACCTGAGATGGTGGCCTCTCAAGTTATTTTTGACTGAGCTCTATCAAATGGTGGCACGCATTGTTGGGATCTCTCAACATCTGGTAAGTCAAAACGAGGTCCTCGCTTAATCGCTGATATTGTCCACTGGAGCTTCCGAGCACTCGAAGCCTCCGTTCATACGGCAAGTTATACAAACCTCTGATATTCTTGATTGCCTGGCGTTAGGGTATCTCTAAGGCCGTGACATCTCTTCTCTGCCATGGCTGCCAGACCTGTATTGCGTATTCCCTATGCTGACGTATGTATGAGCCAAAAAGCTATGGAAAATCGATGGGACGAATTTCCCGAATGCACACCTCAGGAAGCCCACATGTTGAATCCCCTTCTTGACGCCTGTTCAGCCTGACCCGAACATCAAAGGTCGGCCTGAACCAATAGGCCCAGATCCTTTTCGCCACATGACGTTTGTAGCTCCTGGTTACCGAGTTTGTAGGAGCACACCACCTGGTTCGGTAAATTTGTTTACATTGAATCAAGTAGATTCTGGATTCATCACGCGTAAACCTTATCCAGGTCAGCTTGAAGTATTTTGATATCCTCTGGTATGTTAATCGCCCTCCACCCCTTGATACCATAGGAATAGAGCAGACAGTTCGTGCTTATGTGGCGCGTGCTATCATTGATATACATAAAAAGCAACAGTGGTCCTAATACCGATCCTTGTGGTATTCCGCAATCAACTTTGATGGGATCCGACAGGGATTCACGCACTCGTACCTACAAGCGCCGGTGTAGAAGAAAGCTTCTGAACGATTCAAGGAGAGAACCACCAATACCAAAGGTCCGGAGTCTGAAGAGCAGAATTTTATTGTCTAACCGGTCGAACGCATTTGAGAACTCGAGAAAGACTACATCAACTCCTATGCTAGTGTGTACTGCTCCGGTCCAGTTGGATCGTGCTAGTAGTAGATTTGTACTGCACGATTGGTTTCGTCGGAAGCCATGCTGTTCCGGTGCAAAGTAGTTGAATTCTTCCACGTAGGCCTTTAGTGCATCAGAAACAATAGCTTCCCTGACCTTTGGAAGAACCAGTAGTAAGATTATGAGTCTGTACTTGGCTGGATTGGAACGAGTACCTGCATCGTGAATTGGACTAAGCAACTCTCTGACCCTGGGGACACATCCTGGTTACAGAATGAAACCTCTATGCCATTGGGTGATCAACCACGCAGTTCATCTCTTGATAATGACAATATTTTTCGATCCTTGATCATGTAAGCTCACCGCTTAATAGGTTTGTATGAACAGATGGAAAAAACAACGTCCCACACTTCGAAATTTGTTGAAGACCTTCACAAAGGAAGATATGAGAGACTCACTTATTGCAGGATTGAACACTATCTGTGCCAAGCACTTCTCGCATAAATAAAAACCAACAAAGCGTTGGAAATGGATGCAAAACATAAGAAATAAACGTCAGCGTTGGCACCTACCAAACTGAACGTATCGCATTAAATTCCTTGAAGGAAGATCGCAGTATTGTACTTACAAAGGCTGACAAAGGAAAAACCCTGGTTGTAATGAATAAGTCAGAATACTTGGAAAAAATGGGACAACATTTGGATACCGGTCCACATAGAGTAGTTGTTGATAAGACCGTGGCGTCAGTAATGAACAAGAGTAAAACGGAGGTTGGTAACTATTTAAAAACCGTGAAGAACGATTTAGGGGCAGGCAGGTGGTACAGTCTCTACCCAAAATCGACTTTACCTCCGAAGGTTTATGGATTGTCAAAAGTTCACAAACCCGAAGTCCCCGTACGGCCCATAGTCGAGCCGGCGACTTATGCCATTGAGCCATGAGTACGCGCTGCTGACGAGTCCCATTGGGACGAAACGGCCGTCTAGCGCTTTCCTGGATGGGTGGTGGCTGTCTGCCTGAGTCTAATTACGACGAATGTTCATAAATTACCCAGTAGGCGTCTTCGCACCTTACACGCCACCTCGATTGGTGGCGGCTTGCGAAGGAAGTCGGGGCTCTGGGGGCCAGCCTTGGCCTCTGCACGTTCGTAACATGCATGACAGTGGAGGATGAGCCACGTTATATTGCAGTTAGATATTAGTCATGGCGGTCCGCTGCCGTCGCCCATGGTTCGCAAGAGTAAGGTCATTGGTTCGAATCCGGCAGGTTTTGGCAGGTGCGCGCTACTGACGGGTCCCAGTAAGAGGAAACGGCCGGCTAACGCTTTCCTGGAAGTGTGATGACTGTGGCTGAGTTTACTTGCGGCGAATCTTCACAAAATACCAAATAAATTCTCCTACTACTCACAAATTATCCCTTATAAGTGTATCAAGCTGTTTTAAAATCAATTCGAGGATTATACTTTCTACGCAGGTAGGATGAACCATTCATGCGAACGCTTCAAGCTCAAACAACTTTCAGGCGATCTGTTCAAATCACTCATTTTCGTATCCGACTTAACTTCTCCAGCTGACGCAGAAATCAGAACAAGTCTGTTATCCAAAACTGGACTCATACCCAGAGTTCATTATTCCGAATGTTACTGCAGTAACAGCGTCTGGTCGAGTTAAAAGGTGAGTCATATATGTTGCAGTCGAAACAACTAGTATCAGAGATCGCAATGGCTTATACGATTGCTACCCGAATACTGACAGCTGTCTATAACAATGCACGCAGAAACCCCCATGTGTTGGTCGGAATTGTGGTGAGTGGCATTTTTCCAGATACTGCCCGTTCATCAGTCACCAGTGCACCGTCTGTCAGAAGAAGGGCCATAAAGAAGCACATTGGCGATCGACCGCACGACGTCCTTACCGTGGGGACCAGTCGAAACCGTCTCAGCAA